ATAATAGTAAATATTATGAGATACATCTTTTTCTCTAGTTATTTTCAAATACTCAAATTGTTTTTTAAGAATTACCGTTGCAGAATGGCGAAGGGGAACGTCCACAGTTTATCATTGAAAACATAACAATTAGACGATATCGTCGATTTAATTATAAAGGACGAGAAATTCAAGGTAGATTGGTGAGACAAATCCCAAATGTTAATATGTATGCATGGCTTAAGAATTGCATGAATGATTGACATTATCATTTAATTAAAAAAAAAGTAATCTTGAAGACTTTGTAGGTGTTACTATAAATTCTCAAATGTTTCATCACGGGCCATTGTGGATATCTTTTAGGCCTACTCGAAATTTTATTGTTGAAGATTTATGGGATGTTTTGATTAATGCTGTCCAGAGCTTGAGTGACTTTGAAAGCGATGACAGTTTGTCAATTAATTGTGCCATTATAAGTGGTATTGGTGGAAGAGGGCGTGTAGCCTTGACTGAGAACAACGTACGGAAAAAATCAATATTAACCATCAATAATAATGATAATCTTTGTTTATCATGAGCTCTAGCAGCAGCTTGCGCTTACGTCGTCCGGGGACAAATACGCACAGGTAGGCTACATACATAATTATTGGAACATTATAAGACGCGATTACGGGCCCACTCAAAAGAGAGCAGCCGAAGAGCTTTTGCGATTGACAAAAATTTGTGTGCCTGATACAGGGTTTGGCCTCACAGAAGTTCACGAGATTCAACATTTTTTTTCTACTTACAAGACAGCAATTGTCGTTTATTCGTTTCAAAATTTTGGGCGTAGTCATAGTCCTCTGTACGATGGTACTCGTTTAGTTTTAGAGACTCAAGGACAAATCGTTCATACGTTATGATTAATGTACTATGAAAACGCTAAGCATTACGAGCCTATACTGAATTTGATCGGTGCAAGCGGTAGTTGCGGATACTGTATACCGTGTAATAAGAGTTATTGGCGTATCGAGGATCACAGATGCTCCAACAAATGCTACAAGTGTATGCAATCTCCTCTTTGCGATGTGATGGGTCTATCAAAAAAGTGTGATTCATGCCACAAATTAATTATATTTTAACTTCACATGTTTTAAAAATTATTTAAGAAAAGGTTCGTATGATAAATCTGTTAACATTTGCAAAAAAATAAAAATTTGCCCGTTATGTTGCAAAACTGTGCGAATATCAAACAAGAAACATAAACATCAATGCGGTATTTCTTTTTGTTGCAATAGTAAAGATCGTGCAATTGTAAAATTTACCCGTAAATCATCATTGTTACATTCAACCGTTAAAATTAAACAGCAAAAAACCTAATTTTTTAATATTATGCTACGATTTTTAAACGCAACAGACGACACCCATCGCAAGTGATGAGGATAAAAGTCCACGAAGTAAATCTGTGTATCGTTTAACTAGTTTGTAATGCTTGTAGCAACGTACAAGATAGTTCGATAAGCTGCGATCATTGCGGCATTCAAGAATATATTTTTCAAACTAATCCAATCAAACAGTTGGTAGATCTTGCTTTAGATCATCAAAAATATTTTGACAAGATCATTTGCATAGCTCACAATGCACAAGAATTCGATGCTCAATTTATTTTCAAGTATATAGTGGAAAAACACGGCGAACGCGTAGTACCATCCGTTATCATGAACGGATCAAAAATAATATTCATGGAATTTATAAAAATAAAACTTATCGATAGTCTTAATTACTTTCATATGCCTTTAAGCAGCTTACCCAAGTCGTATGGTCTGTCGGGAATTAAAAAAGGTATTTTTCCATATTTTCTTAACAAGACCGAAAATCAATCGAACATAGGTCCTCTGCCGCCGCTCGACGTATATTCACCCGATGGCAAGCATACGAAAGATCAAGATCAGTTTTGAAAATGGTACAATGAAAAAGTAAATAATAATTATATATTTGACTTTAAAAATGAAATAATAAAATACTGTAGGCAAGACGTAAAAATTTTAAGATTAGCTTGCTTAGTTTTTCGAAAAACTTTGAAAATTCGAGGTGGACACTTTTGGGGAATGCACAACGATCACTTCGACCAGCATGCGTGTGTATAGAAAACAATTTCTGAAAAAAAATCAAATTAATGTAATACCACAAAAAGGTTAGAGAATGGTTAATAATCAATCTAAAATAGCTTTAAAATGGCTTTATTGGATGGAAAACACGTTCTCCAGCGATTTATTGAACACGTTTGACACTGCCAAGAGAGACGCTTACCAGAAGGTATCCTCATCGATGGATACTGTACTCCTCTAGATGGTGTGCATGATAATCGTGGAATCGTATTATGATTCCAAAGTTGCTTTTGGCACGGCTGCCCACGGTGTTACCCAGTAAACCAAGATACCATTTTGACAACCGGAGATACAATGGATAAAAGATATGAGAAAACTTTCACGATTGACGAAAAGATAAAAATGTCAAATTATAAGTTGATAGAAAAATGGGAATGCGACTTTAACCAAGGAATACGTGACAACTGAAAACAAAGAACTTTCAAATTTTATTCGAGAAAATGAAAATTATTGGAGTAGAAAACCATTGAATCCAAGTAATGAATTTTTCGGTGGTCGAACGGGAAACACTGTAAAAATGTACGATTGTCAGGATGTAGAGAAAATCAAAAACGTTGACGTATGCTCTTTGTATCTATATATTTGCAAACGAGGTATATTTCCCATTGGTCATCCAACGTCATACTCTAACGAAGGAGAGTGTGAAAAAATAATAGGTGATAATAATGATATATCCCAAGTAAGCGGATTAATTATGTGTGATGTGCTACGACCTAGAAATTTGTATCATCCTGTATTACCGGTGAAAATGCACAATAAGCTTATTTTTCCACTGTGCCGTACGTGTTGCGAGAATATGCTTCAAGAGCACTGTGTCCACTACGATGAAAGAGACCGCATTTTAAGAGGTATGTGGGTATCCAAAAAAGTCAAGGTGACTGTTCACGTAGGTTATATCGCTAGAAATGTTTATGAAATATATCAATATCAGATAACACAGTACAATCAAGAAGCGGACAAGAAGGATAATTTGCACGTTGTATTAACGAGTTTTTTAAACAATAACCACTAGCTTCGGGTTACCCACCTACCTGTGTACCTAATGAACAAGTATTTCGATGAGTCTTACCACTCATTAAACAAGTTGCCAAAGCTGTTGACAAAGAAGCTGTTCGTGCAGGTATAAACATTATGTCTGACGTCACCACTAAAAATGTACCTTTCAAAGAGACATTCTGCACTCGTGTGATGGAGTCTGGTAATAAGCTGAAGGAAAAAGCCGAGGAAAAATTGGACAAGCTTATGGAAGGTTCAGGATATAAACTTGGACGACTCGACGAACCATTTCAGTAGCAATTGCTTCGTAGAACTGTGCAGTCAAGGCGTGGTCGGCGTAAGAGTAAAAAGAAGAAAACTAAGAAAACGCGTAAACATGATAAAAAGAAGAAAAAGAGAACAATAAAAAGAAAAAAGAAGAAGGGACAGAGAACTGCAAAAAACATTTTTGAAAGCTAAATTTTTTAAAATGGCTTTTTTACACAGTCACTCATGCAAGTGCTTAAAGTCTGAGCTTCTTTTGTTTGATACTCCAGCGACTCAAACAACTATCAAGGGATCGCACTAGATTCAATACAAGCAGATTTTATTGCTCACGGATTATTCACCGATTGAATTTGTCGTACCAGGTAATGGTGACGAATACATCGATCTCCCACACACAATGCTCAGTCTTCGTGTCAAGTTGGCCGTCAATGAAGATGAAGAATTAAATACTGACGTCACATCTTAAATCTCAAAGACAGGACCAATCAATTATTTTATGCATTCGTTGTTCAATCAAGTTGATGTGTTTTTCAATTAGAAACCTGTATCGCCTCCTAACAACGCGTACGCTTACAAAGTATTTGGTATTTGGAAACTCTATTGAATTACGGTCTTGCGGAAAAATCAGCCCGTTTGACGAGTGCATTATGGTGTGACGATACGGCGACAAAGATAGACGATGTGTTGGATGCCAACGCGGGACTCGTCAAGCGACGTACACTTCTACCAGTAAGGAAGTCGATTGATCTGATTGGTCATCTTTATTGCGATGTATGCAATCAGGAAAAATTATTTATCAATGGCGTCAATGCATGAGCATCTTACCAGGACACTAGTCGTTTCAGTATTTGACTACTGCAGTGCAGTTTACCAGGTCATTGACGGGACTTGTTAACTGCGGCTTTAATGCCTTTACCATGGCTTTAATGCTTTTACCATGCCATAAACGCATGCTTTCGTTTGCATACTATATTATTTTCCTGAAAACATCTATTTCAAGAGAATGGTGTTTGAAGTAATATGTTTATATTTTGGCTTAAAATTATGAATATAATTTCTGATATACGTAGGCTTAAGAAAACTGATAAAGTATTACTTTCAAAAGGATTAAATTTAAGAAACTGAGGGCTATGGATCTTGTCAGTCTGCACGTATCTCTGAAGTTTGTGTGTTAAGTCATAAATACGATAGCTATGTTCAAATAATGTAACATTTTTTGCAAAAAAACTTTTGTTGTAATAAAGTTGTACATTTATCAATATTCTAGTATTACTAAAAAATGCGTTAAAACATTAAAAATATTTTGGTTTTTATGTAAATTTTTGGAAGCAGGATCAACTAAATATTACCAACAAAGTAGACTCGTCTATAAATTTATTGATTAACGGTAAGTCATTTCATGTCTAATGAAAACAGCGATATTACCGAATTTTTTTAAAATAATTGTTAATTCTGAAAATGCACTAAAAAATGTGTATTCCACTGTATTTCTATTGCTTTAAAGTCCTTATGTATTTTATTCATAGCCAACTAATACTTTCATTTTAAACTAAGAAGTTTACGAGTAGAAAGAATAATTCACAAATTTAGCAATGTAAAATTGATATTGCATCACTTACCATTAGATATAATTTTACTTGATACGTCAGATAATTTATCTAAACCTGCATCCCTGCTCCTAGTAGCACAATCGATATAATACATTTCACGAGTACTCTTTGAAACATTTGATTTACTGACAATTACAGAACTTTGTTCGATATCGTTATTCGATGTATTATTTCGAAAGCTAGTATTGTTCTTCGCATCTAAAAAAATTTTTAAGATCAAAACATGATTTAATTAGAAAAATTTTAATATTTAAAAAAAATAAAGCAGCAGAAAATTACCTGCTGATATTTTATCACAATCAGCGGACAATTCAGATAATGTTGATACCAGATATAATGCGTTTTTATTTTTTTTTGCGAATGTGTGTGATACATTATCTATGACTTGTAAATGTGAATTATTTAGTTCATCAGAGTTGAGATTTTGTTCGATTGATTGTCTTGATAATTGATGCTTGACTGTATTGGTTTTTGAAAAAACTGAAGATAGATACGCACTACTCTTTCCTGAACGAGAATGAGCTTGTCTTATACTTATTGGAATCAACTGATGCTCAGTATTCTCAGTTATCTCTGATTTTTTTACTTTTGGAGAGACAGGCATTGTTATAAAAGCTCCACCTGTTGGCTGAAAGCCCGATACACCTGAAGGATTCACAGGACTTGAATATGGATAAGATCCAGAAATTACAGATATATTTACATTTTTGTTGCTTGTAGACTTATTGTATTGTAAATCTTCTTCTAAAGTTGGTAAACAAGCTGAAAAACGTATGATTGATAAGTATTTTAATGTAAGATCAATTTTAGATAACTTATAGTTTTATACTTGTTTTTGGATATTCGACGAAAATGTTTATGTATCCAATTAATTATACTATTAAGTTTATTTACATATCATACTACTATTTCATAATTTTTAACTTATGAAATAGAAAACTGTTACATACACCTAAATAGCAAGCAGATTATTGTTGAAATGGGAAAACAAAAGACAGAATAATAACATACTATAAATACAATGAAATGACGAAAATATAATACGATACAACTTAATAAAGCACAGTCTAGCTGGCTGTTTACAAGCATGCAGGACCGCATGCATCGACGAACATATAAGATCTCTATTCGTGTTTCGTTCAGGAGCGAGGATTAGGCATCCATAAGACTATACGCTTGCTATAGTAGTCCAGAGATGGTACCGCTATTCAAATTTTCGCTTACATAAGTGCAGTATGATTTACTAGTAGAGCTCCGTCCCCATGCGGACTTTGCGTGGCAACCCCCAAGTACTAACAAAAAATACCTAAATAATCAGATATTACTAGATTGTAATAGAAGTAAATCTCATTAAAAAAATTAAGAAGAAGTAAGCAAATTGTATTATTGCCCAGTTTTTGTGAGTTTTTTGCTAATTTTCTAATATATATTGGACAATACATAATATTAGGAACTGCTTGCTGTTTCATTCTCATATAATTAATAAATTCCTAATTTATTAGAATTCTCTACAATGATTGTACTTGATGCGGTACTATCGTGATAAGCCATCTAAAAGACGATAGATGTTTTTATGAAAATGAGTTGTATTTCAGCTGTAATTTATTTTAATATTTACTGTATAAAGATGGATATAAGAAACATTACAATATTTTTTTATCTTAAAACCTTGCATCTATTTTTTGAAATGAATAGACAGATACACGGTGACTAAAATAGTGTCATTGTCCATAAATGTTAAGATAATACAATGCATTTGTCTACCAACAGGATTGTAAAATTTGTTGTAGTGTCCGAGTAATTAATCTTTTTTTAAGATTATTTTCAACGATGGTTTTAAAAAAAAATTTCGTTTTCTCACAATCAATTGAGAGGTAGCGAGGGCAGTAGCAGTAATTAGGAGAGCTGTGGGGATTGACAGAGTAGCTGCATAAGTGTGAAAAAATAATTAACGAAGATTAGTATTATGTGATGTAAGTACACGCGAAGGATTCAAAAGTCTATACATAGGTTAACAAGTAATATTAACAAAAAAAGCTTCATGCACTAGGAACTTTATTTATACAATCAAGTCAAAATAAAATGAATCCAAATTTGTTTATGATCATATTATTTAGTAGTGAATAACACCACTATTTATTATTTGTATGTATACAGTTTATCTCGTTGCCTCCTAGGTAGTTTTAGAAATAAGATTCAAATAGTTTCAAATTTACTAGAATACGTAGATAATCTTAAATGAACGGTCAGGGGTAGAGAAAAATCACGTGCAGGGTACGAAGGGACTTTGGACCAATAGTGTTATAAGTTGATATAAAGCGGTAAAAACTAAATATTTTTTTATCTTGTGGGGAGACGGTAAGGACACTTGGTGCAGAGAAGACTGTAAGGAATTATGTAAAATGCTCCATGAAAATTACTTAATACTGTAGGGGGATATGTACTAGTAGTTATTTACCCCTCTTTATACACTAATCGTTGGAAGCTAACAAGAAAGTCTGNTATAATACACGATAAGGTTATCATATAATATACATATGCACGAGTGACACGTGAGCTTCACTCGTTGTATAATTATGGATACATATATGCCTATATTGACTTGTTTGTGTATGTAATGAACGAGACTCTATCAACTACGTACGTAATAAAAATTCCGAGAAGCCTATGTTAAAAACAGTGGATGGAATTCTGTCAAGTTTGAGCTGTCTTTTAAAGGCAGAAGCCGGTTTTCTCAAATACTTTTTTTTTAGTTGAGTCAAAAAGATTTTTTCTCCCTAACTCTTAAAAAAGTTTGTGTTAACTAAGCCAGTACAAAATAACCATATAATTTGTGAGTTCACGAAAACACAAATTTTCAAATGTACGTACGCAAATAAAAAAATTTACGCACGTTGGCTATAAAATAAGCAGTTCGCCGCATACGTGATGACTGATTCACTTTCTAGCTTGGGGACGTAATAAACCATTACATGGTCGTAAGATAAAAAAAACCGTGAAAATGTCACTAACGTAATTTCAAGTATATAAAAATATTATTCTTAACAACACCAATGTATTGACTTTTTTATTCATATTTTTCTCATTTTTTTAAAGTTCAAGATTTTAAGTGTCTTCTCTTCAAGTTCAGAAAAATAAAAAAAATGTCATTAAAAATTCACCCAACTTATTAGTCGCAAAATTAGCTATTGATACTTTTTAATTGCACATATTTTTTGCAGCTCCTTATTTTAATGTGGCTAGTCATAGTTTCGTTGATAGAGCATTTGTCTCGGTAGAAGGAGCAATCATTACCGTAATATATTTAGTCTTCCAGATGTTTTAACTCACCAAATTGAAGAACTGCGCGTTAAATGCATAATGATCATAAATAACTGAAAAAAAAAATACAGCAATAATAATTAAAGATTACTATCTCAATGAAGTAAGCACTACATTACTTCTTCGTTAAAAGACGCCTGTTAGGGTGGGTGATTTTTAACGTAAAGAGAGAGTTGGAAGTGGCTCGAATCGTATTCGGGGGTGTCGAATCAACTGGTGAGATCAAACAATGCGGAGAAGACCAAGTTGAAGATTCTGGTCGTAGTGTGATAGTTGCTTTTGATGGAATCCGAGCTGTCGTCAGAAGGGGAGATAAAGGATCAGGAATTAATCTGAGGTTCTAGAGCAACAATAATCTTCAGAAGAATTAAAATATCTCTGTATTAAACAAAATGTGGACTCAACTTCGATGCCTTCATGGATATTTTTCAGTAACAAAGTGTCAAATTCAAAAAAAGACTATAAAAATATTGTTAAAAAAATTTAAAGCAATTTTTATAGAATTTCTCTGAGCACTTAACATATAACAAATTAAAAAAGAAATTTTTCTGATGCACCGTAAATTACTTCAGTATGATTCAAAAAAAATCAAAAAATACGAATTTTTGTAGGGGTAAGTGTACCTATCTCCGTGGCACGTACTGAATATTCCAACTTAAATGCACCATAAAAAATGGTATACTAAAATTTTTTGGAATATTTTTTTTTTTAATCTTACATAATCTCTTACGAAATATTTACAAAAATTTTATGAAGCTAAAACTGCAGTAGAATATTTTTAAAACGAATAAAAACGGTATGCTGGTATTACCGTGGTTGTGTACCTATTACCGTGTACGTATTACCGCGGATGTATAGGGTTATGTTTACGTACGCTCACCGCGGAAATACGTACACAATCAGTTAATGAGCGCGTTGTACCGAATACCGTGGAAAATAATTATTTACTCAAAATATACACAAATATTTCTGTTTGAATTGCATCTACATTAACGTCATTTTAGATTATTAAAATTGAAAAATTATTTTATATGAAACATTTCTTATTTTGAGCAAGTAATCATCAGTTTTTCAAAATCCACGGTAATAGGGCAGAGCACGGAGATAGGTACACTTACCCCTATT